ATGGAAGTCAACCTCATTTACCTTGGTCAGTCAAACCAAACATCTACCCTGGCCATTAATGGCCCTTCAGAGAGAATCTGGTGCAAAAGAGCAAAGGGATGTTGTCCAAGCAACAGTACACGAAGACGTGTAATCCTTAAAAGCAGATAAAATGACACTGCACCACAGTGTAATTTGACATTTTCCTTTCTACTCCGTGGGTTTAGACTTGACACTGACTTCTGGTGGACACAGGAGCTCAGCACACAAAGAAATTGATTTTTCAGCACTAAAATAAAGCCTAGTTTATCTAGAGCATGTGAGCACAATACGGAGATCATTACTGTCCACTGGCTGCTAACAGAGTTTTAAGCTCTGAGACGCAGGATTAAACACTGCTGTCTACATGCATTATTGAGTTTCTCAGGGAGGGAGACCGGCTCTGGTACCACGAGGGGATCTTTGGAGGGCAGCATCCTTCCTGTGCTCTTTTTTTTTTTTTTTTATCCTGGAGAGCATGCATGTCTGGGTCATCCCTCCTGGACTGGTCCTGTGGCAGAAGAGAGACACGAAGGCGCTTTTTTATTCTATTTATTTATGCAATGCTTGAATAACACTGCAGAGAAGACTCCTGTCGAAAACACCTGTTTATATGAAATAGTCTGACCGTACGAATACATACGTATTACGTATATACGTTATGATCCATGATTGGATCGTGGGTTAATTAGCTTCAATCAGTGTGGATGAAAGGCAGGAGAATGACTAGGTGAGGTTTTTACTTTTAAACATTGAGACATATATGACAACTGGAAATATCAGGGAAGTGTATCTGGCAAAACATCCGCATCGTGAAGATTTAAGTCATGCCAAAAGGTCAGCAAATTAAATTCTGTGCATTTCCTCCTCAAAGCCATTTAATACAAAGTGTTTAAGTGGTTCCTCCTAACCGGCCCAGTGAAGGGTCAAGTTTCTGTTGATGTGCCAGTAGAGTTGTGGCTCAGGGATCATCAGGGGTCACGCATGGTTTTCAACTGCACTGACTGACATGGAGAAATGTGTTTGCATTGTGGATGTGGGTGAGTGCATGCAGTTATAACCGTGAGGAGTATTTGCTGAAGACTGAACCTGCTCGTTACGCAAAGTTAGAATTTATGATATTGTTCCCTGTTCTGGAACAAGACCAAAAGCCATGCAAGTTTACAATCAGCTGTATTGAGAGCTGAGGGTAGTAAATTATTTGGATGAAGAGGTAGTTGTTAAAATGATAAAGCTTCACAGCTTTTTTGGGGAGGATGTACACTGACATTTAAATTGTCAGGCTAATGCACGCATCAGAAAATATACTGAAAATACCAACAATGGGTTCCTATATATACTGTATTGAGCAGAAACTTGAGGGGGCAGGGACAAAAGGGACACTTCAGTTCCTCTTTACTTTGTACTTCTACGCAAGGTATCACACACTTCTCTATAGTTACAACACTGACAGAGGACAGTTTCTCTTCAAAGGGATGTCACTGTCGATCTGGTGGTAATGTTTAAACACTAATCTGGACTGGTGAAGATTTGATCAGACGTCACACATCAGTAATGGTAAGAAACTGTATTGCTTTTGAAAATGTTTCGCTTCTTCCACCAAGTATTTTTCTGTTCCTGTACTTGATTCTGATTCAAAGAATGTGTTTATTGCCTTCACACTGTGGTAAACACAGATGAAAAATAACACAGCACTGTACTAGATAGATGCTGAAACACCATAGTAGATATGAATCATGCAAATAACTTGGTGATCCAAGTTCTGCAAGGTTCCTCTTCAGTACTGGTTGCAATTCAGTCCTAACCAATTAAGAACCTAAAAAACAGCAACAACTGTGAACATTTGGCCTCAGTTTTCTTTTGGTAACAGTAAGTGCATAATGCCACTTTTTGTTGCAGGTAGCTTTATGAGGAGCCACAGGAACTACATGTGTTCATGTTTAATACACTAACATGAATAAGAGTCTACAGCCATGCTAGCTGCTCTTTGAGGCACAGTTGTGCTTTTAGCTAAACTATCAGCATGCTAACCTGTTCACACTGACAATGCTAAAATGCTGGTGTGAAACAGGTAAAATGTTCGCCACATTTAATTTAGCTTTCTAGCATGCTGATATAAACTAATTAGACTGGCATTGCCATCTCTAGAGCCATGCTGCTAGCATAGCTAAAGAAAACATGCTAATGTGTTTCCTGATGGAGTGCCACATTTTCTCATTTTATACCATTGTACCTGTATTTTCAACATTTTTTTAGGCGAAGCATCCAGCTTTGATTGTAGAAAATACATTTTCTTTCTGTACAGTTTTTTATTTCTGTGCATACACCAAACCCATAACCTATAGATCTATGGATACAACATCTATACACTACCAGCTACGGAAATTTGAAGACAAAAGATTATTTAGTCAACAGCATGTGTTATAAAAGCAAGCGGTTACATCACGACAGGCTTTTTCCACCTCATTAGTCCTTGTTTCCTTTTTGTTGTATTTTTCTGAGGAATATGACCAAGGCCACTGACACAAATATCAGTCTTGTTTGACAAAAGAGCAGCCATTTCATCTTCAGAGTAAACAGCGTTGATGTTAAGCACTTGTAATTGGATACCACAGCGAAAGGGGGTGGTACCAGACCGGTTTCTATGGAAACAAGGACTGATTTATGGGTTGGGGGTCTTAAGCAGCTCAGGAATATGTGACTTGTACAAAGGTGGTGAGTGATAAGTGTCCAAGTTCAACCCATGGTCTGTGTTGGTGGAGAGCAGGAGTGTTCCTGGCAGATCCTGGAAGTTCAGTTTGATGTTGGAACAACATGAAGGCAATCTGTGATTTTCGAAAAAGAATCTGCTGCCAATAATCTTCACGCCCACTTTGAGACAGCAAAGGAAATTGATTGCCTGCACTTTTTCAAGATATTGTGAAACATGCAGATGATGCTGCACCTAATGACTGCAGATAGACAAACATAATTTGTGCTCACATGGGTAATTATGTTTGTGAACATTTGAAGCTTCCCAGAAAGAAACATGAGCAGGGTTTTAATGTAAGCAGCCCTTGGCACCGTATAGACGGTGCACAGAGGCTGCTCTATGTGAACCAGTGCTCGAGTGTCAGATGGGGAACCACACATGGCCGGAAATGTCTTAAATTTTCAGATGGAGAGAAGACTGGAATTAGAGGTGTTAAAACTCCACTTTTGCAGCATCTTTGGATCATTTGAAGGATATTACATCATCAAGTAATTTTATAGTATAATGTTACACATATTGTTCAATCATATATGACCACAGCTTATTTGTAAAACTAACCATCCATATAAACATTTGGCACTCATTCTTTCTGCATTATCCCAGGGCCAGAGCCACCACTGAGCACAACGGGGTCACGTCCTCTGTATTGTTTCTGAACATTTGTGGAATGAAATGGCCAGAGGAGACATTTCCATTGCACAGAAATTACACATGGGGATTATTTTTAGGCTAATTCTGAGTCAGTATTCTTACATTTGACCATAATAGGCCAATACATAACTGGTTATAGTCTTTCTAACCACCAGAGTTTCATTCCTGGCATTGCAGAGAATGCTTTAGGGCTTCACAATTACAGAAGATATAATTTAACAGTTAAATTAATATGTAATATAATTAGGTAGGGTTGCACTTGGGGAATGTAGACTTTTGACTTAAGTATTTCTGAACTCCTGACTATGGCCCTGCATACATAAACATGCATCCTGCCCATTTCCAGTAATTGAACTACACATTCCAGCCCCTGCTTGTATTAGCATTTAGATAAGTGTAAATTTTGTTTCTTTCAATATGTGCTTGTTTTCGTGAAATGTTTCATGTTTACCTTTCTATAGAGACTTTGAAATATTAATGTGTCACACAGCTCAAAGTAGTTGTCAAATATACACTGACCAAAATTATAAACGCAACACTTGTTTTTGTCCTCATTGATCAAGAGATGAACACAAAGATCTAAGACTTTCTCTATGTACACAAAAGGCCTAATTCTCTCGAATATTGTTCACAAATCTGTCAAAAATTGTGTTAGTAAGCACTTCTCCTTTGTCGAGATAATCCACCTACCTCACAGGTGTGGCATATCAAGATGCTGATCAGACAGCATGGGTATTGCACAGGTGTGCCTTAGACTGGCCACAATAAAAGGACACTCGAAAATGTGCAGTTTCACTGTATTGGGGGGATCCGGGAGGGTGGATGGCAAAGGAGAAGTGCTCACTAACACAGATTTTGACAGATTTGTGAACAATATTTGAGAGAAATAGGCCTTTTGTGTACATAGAGAAAGTCTTAGATCTTTGAGTTCAGCTCATGATGAATGGGGGCCAAAACAAAAGTGTTGTTGTTTATAATTTTGTTCAGTATAATAGATAATATATATAACAAAAATTCATACATTTTAGTGCTCCAAAACAAAAACATGGCTGTTGTTCTCTACCATATGTTCAATACCATTATTATTGATATAATGAGAAAACATGCTCTGAAGACAGTGCTGAAAGTCATCAAATGCTGCATCAGACAACATGAAACAATGGCATGTTGCAAAGCCTAATCCAAGCCTTTTTCCCTCTTTTTTAAGGACAGACATAATCCACTTATCCACTCCCTTTGAGAGAAACTGGCTAAATCCAATATCAGCGACACTTCCTGCTAACAGTGAGCACCTCCAGTGTCACCGAATGTCTTCTAGATGATATTAGGGCATGTAAACACCTCGACACACATTAGCATATCTTGACACACTATTGAAACTACTGATAACCTCTGGTCGTGACAACAGTAACTCAACAGCTTTTTAAAGGCTTTTTACTGCTAAATTACTGTGAGGAAATGGAGAGAGTTTGAGAGCAGGCAAGGCAAGGACGGGAAACAAAGATTTCTTGTGACTTCCTCACTTTACTATTTTTTCATTGTGTGTGTGTGTGTGTTTGTGTTGCTTTTCTGGCAGCAGCTCTGCACCACTGCACCTGCTCTTTAGGCTGCAAGCACGAGAGAGGAGATGTATGTGAAAAAGACAGACAGGAAGACTGTCTTACTGAGAGTGACAAAAGGTTTCAGCTTTAGTTGATTGACGTCAGTTTGGTCAAAGACATCAGCGACGAGCAATGACAGAAACTGCCTGATCTCTACCTGAAACAGAATCCACATTGTTGGTAAGTTGCAGTCAAAACGTAAAGCGGTGAATTGTGTTAAAAAAGGGAAGCAGACTGCCCCGTACTCTAGCACAAAGATGTTGCTTTTGACAGTCTTAACGTCTGTTCCAAAATCCTATATTTATTAACAATGTTTCTGTTGTTATTGTTTACATATTCTTCTAAATACTGGCGCAGGAGTGAACTAACATAACGGTATCTGTTTATGTGTGAACGTATGTGAGGGTAAGAGACAATTCACACTTAATTCTCTTGTATGTTGGCGCACTATCAGTAAGCCAGGAAGGCCCTTTCCCCTGTGTTAATACTGCCTATTGTGAGTGTGTGCAGGGTGGATGTGGTTTATTTTTTATACTGCTATGGAACTATTTATGGAAACTTTAGACCGGAAAGTGTATAAAGGAAAGAATAATAATGAAATAAAACAGAGGTACAAGACATTTCTCAACAATAAAACACACATCAGACCTGCTTGTTGTTTATTGTTGGAATTCAATACTTGTTTATCAGAGCCATTCCTCTCCACAACGTGTTTCTGTGTACTCCTTGACAAGCACTTATGGGGTGAATATAAAGCTGTCGGTTAAGATAATAGCAGTGTGGGTGGATGATGGGAAAGATGATGTTGAAAAAGACTTCCTTTTTCTACAGGTGGCCAGAGTACCAGACCAAAAGAGACGCAGCAGGCACTAAAGAGTGCAGACGAATGGATGCCATGTTACAAGGGTTGATAGAGACAGAGCCTCTCTTACACAGAGGACAGAGAGTCGGACTCCAGTGATGATCCTTTCATCCCTACTCCGCATGAAGGAGCACCCCGCAACTGGAGTACCACAAAACACACATCTGCACACCCGCACGGACCCCTGCAATGAGACACAGCTGAATATTCTCCTCAATCTTCCTCATTTACGCTCTTTAAGAACTCGTTGACTTGAGGTAACAAAGTGTGGCACCTCACAGAGGCATCAATGAGAGCTCAAGGGCTGACGAAGTTCAACCATCTTAAGTGGTGTGAATGAGGACTATATTTGTTGCTTTCACTCAGAGTGGGTTTTCATCTTCGTGCACAGTGTTCCTGTTTCACACCAGCACCATAGAGACCAGGACGGAAATTTAACTGGGAGAGCAGGAAGCTCTGGATCAGAGTGGAGAAGAGATTATTGGACCCGGTTTCTCAGGCACCATGCAGTCAGATGACCTCTTCATCCGCAAGTTTCGCCGTCAGAACATGCGGCCGCCTATTGCCACCGTCAACTTTGACCCAAAACGGGAAGCAGGTGTAGTGGAGTGGCCGCCCAGGAGGGAGGGGGATGGAGCTGCTGATGGAGACAGCCTCACTCCGAGCCGTGTGGGGCTGAACCTGAGGTCGGTGGGCCGGGGTCACATCATGCAGAGAAGTAACAGCGATGTAACCTTAGGTGACTTGGACTCATCTGCGAAGGCAGTGGGCAAAGCAGCTCGAGTGGTTGGTGAGAAGGTGGGTGCAGGGGCTCAGGGCGACTCAGGTGTGCTGCTACACAGGGAATATGGCAGCTTATCTTCACTGGAGAGACAGAGTCAAGCCCAGGAGTTGAGCACTGATGACCAGGGGCCCCTGAGTCCAAACGCCCTCCGCTTCAAAGACCCTTTCCTGCTTTTAGGACTGCAGGGCAATCCTCCAGAGCCTGATGGATTTTTTCGGGGGCTGTCTGTTTCCACAGGAGACTCCCCAAAACCTGCCAAGCCACCGAAGCCTGAAGGTCTAAGTAAGAAGACCAAACCTGTGCCCCCTCAGATCCCTCAACCAGGTCCGTATGACAACATTGGTGGTGGAGCCTGGGTGAGGAACTTTGCCCACTATGATGTTCAGAGCATCCTGTTTGACCTCACCGAGGCAGCCACAAACAGAGACAGCATTGGACGGAAAAAGAATATCACCTCAGGGGCTTCAGCCGCCTCCCAGCTGCGCCCCCTGTCTCAAGCCTCCCCGTCCTCACCTGCACAGGGCGGGGGAGGCAACGGGGGGAATGCAGATGACCCCGAGCAGTCGCTGCTGCTGGACGAAGGCGATGGCAATGACAATGAGCTCCTACTCAGCTGCCCCCACTTCCGCAATGAGACGGGGGGAGAAGAGCAGGTGGGTCTGGGCAGATCCCAGGAGAGGCGGGGACTCTGGTCGAGCCTGCGAACCCCAAACGATGCAGTGTCGGTCCTGGAGGAGCCCAGAGAGAGTCATGTCCAACAGCAGGGCAAGAGCAACTACTTTATAGAGCATGCAGATCTGGGAGCCCATTACTATCGCAAATATTTCTACATGAAAGGTATGTGTAGTGCAAGTCATTGTTAATTGTTTCTGTTTATACCTCTTCAATTGAAAGAATATTTTCAGGAAAATAGATTGTAATCTAAACTGTAATATAGTTTGACTTTTTTGGAATGCTCTTTTAACTTTCAACCGGGATTTATATTTTATTTCAGCCTTGTGAAAGTTTATTGTAGAAGGAAACAGACAAAAATAGCTTTTTTGTGTGCCACAGTTAATGAAGTTGCTCTTTAACAGACCTGTCAGCAGCTTGTTTTCGGTCCACTTACTTGGTTGCTGTAATAACCATTTATTTAGCAACTACTTAATTTAGTATTTGCATGAAATGTAAGATTCAACCTACCCTAATCATTTTCACACAGTCCCTTATGAGGGTCATATTTTAACCCCAACACACAGTCACAGTTTTTTGACCCGGTGCTGCACTTCCATTATTGTTCTTCCCACTTGTATTTATTTGACTGTATTGTCATCACAGAACACCAGAATTTCTTCGGCATGGACGATCGCCTCGGTCCAGTGGCCATCAGCTTCCGTCGAGAGGAGAAAGAAGGATCCAGCGGAGCTCAGTACAATTACAGAATCATCTTTCGCACCACAGAGGTAAATCTGCATTTTCTCTACCCCAATGCTCTCCTCGGGTTCAGTGTGTGGTAAAAGTGATTCAATTGGATGTGATAAATGTGAATCGTCTCCTCAGATGAAGACACTGCGAGGTTCCATCTTTGAGGAGTCAGTGCCTTCTGCCGCCCGTCACACGACCCCTAGAGGCTTGTCTCCCAAGAGGCTGCTGGAGTTCATCATGCCCGAGCTGAACCTGCACTGCCTTCGCTTGGCCTCAAACTCCCCCAAGGTCCGGGACACCCTGCTGAAGCTGGATGAACAGGGGGTGAGTAAGGCTACGTCTGCTTCTGCTGACACTGAAGACTGCTGCATGTGTCAGACAGAAAGCTTTGCAGGACGTCAGATATTGACAAATAGCAGCAAAGGTTTTTCAAAGGTCAGGACATTTTTGTTAACAAACTGACATTGTGAATACTGCACTATCCAATATATCTGTTCTATAAACACTCAGTGTCCACTTTATTTGGTACACCTGTCAGTGTAATACAATACAATACAATACAGCAGCCCACCATAACATCTATGTATATTCTTCCCTCAGCTACTTCTGCCACCATGTT